CTGCACCAGGAGCAAAAACTTTGCACAGTTCATAACTGGAGAAGGAGAAAAAAAAATAATAAAGTGAGTTCTTTAAAGTCACTATGCACTTTAGCAAGGTGCCCTGGAGGAAAAGTCTGCTTGGGTCCATTGGCATAACTGCATTAGCCAACTCTTGTAGAGCTAACTGATGCGTGTGAACAAAACCTTTACTTTCACAGAGCTGAAATTTGGTGCGCCATTTCATGTGTATTAGTCCGTTACCATTCAATCTATAGGGTAATTGAGTCAATACAGGAAGTGCTATCAGGTCAGGTAAAATGCCAAAGTAGCCCACTTCCAGCAGTACACAAGGATGTTAAGAACAAGTGTATACAGGTCACAAGTTCATTCATTCCAGCCAGTATCCTGTCTCCAACCGCAACCAAAACAACCTAAAAAAAACAGATGTGCAGAGGAGTATCCCTGCTCTTTCCCCTAATACTATTAGCTAGCAATGATTTTCACTTCAGAAGCTTCCTGACATGGCTCAAGAGAGGTTCAAGAGAGACTCACAGTCAGTATCTTCTTTGCACTTGTCCAAATTCCTCTGGAACCAGTACACACTTGTAGTATGCAGGACCCTGTGACAAGAAATTCTACACCTTGGTTTTCTGTTGCATGAACAACTACGTTCTTCTATCCCCTTGATGCCGCTCACTCCTTCCCTGGACAGAGCAAGAAATAAATCCCTTCCAGTTTCTCCTTGATATGTCATTTCTTTCCCAATCATATCTTCTGCAGACTGACAAGCCCTAGCCTACTCAGTCTTTCTCTATGCAAGAGCCATTCCACACATCTGATGATCCCCATTTCCCTTTACTGCATCCTTCCCAGCTCCTTTTTAAGATGAGACCAGATCTGCAAATATTATTCAAGATGCAAGCAAACCCTGGTTTCATCCAGTGATGCTCTTCATTTTGTTATCTACTTTGTTCTGAATACTTTGGGTTTGGAAAGGAGGTCATTTCAATTTTGACTATTCAGTGATGAGCTGATGATTCATCACCTTGCTCCATGGCAATGAGAACCAACCCAACAGGTCACTGAGATGCATATGAAGTTCAAATTATTTTTCCCAGCACATGCATCACTGCATTTACATACACTGAACCAGGTGGCTAAGAAGAAAATGCCAAGTCATGCAACCGTTGGGAAATGTAGTAACCTCTCAAAACATCACGTCACAATCCCTAACAAATGTGAAGCACGAGGTTTGTCTTTGCACATTTTACAAATAATTGTAATGATCCTGTACTCTTAGATTATGTTTTAAAAATCCACTTTTCTTCAAGCATACCCAAATTCTCAACACAAGCACTTTTTACACACAGTTTAGTCAGACTGCACTGGGATTACATGTTGCATGGAAAAAAATAATTCTTAAATCAAGTTTGGATTTGCCACCCTTTGTCTTAATCAGATGCTGTTGTTCTGTGTTCACACAGAGGAAGTGGGAAAAAGAGAAAAATTATTCCTTAAACCAGTCAATTTGCAGGAGAATGGCCAGCTTTCGAGCACTGTACCTTGGACAGTCAGTTCTGTCCTAACATCAGCTCTGCACCTCTGCTGTGCGACACCACAAACACTTCAGTCTCGGGACAGACACCACACATGGAGGATGCTTGACAGGAAAACTGACCAGGTTCTCCATCAGGTTGTGATTTCTAAAGGAATCTGAAAGACTGAAAGTCTGAAAGACAAATCCGGGTCTCTACAGAGCACTAATGTAACACATGTGTATGTCCCAGTGAGCTGCTGCAAGGAATAAATTCCGCACTACATGTCACAACTAGGAAACTGGGAACTTCCCACAAGTGTAATAAGCACAAGTAACAGTGCCAGGTACGGAACAAAGGCTTTAACGCAGCAAATGAAGCACAACTGCTGCCAGAAGGTTTCAAAGACAGGGACATGTAATTATTTCTGTGGTGTTTCACAGAACAAGTTATGTTTCAGAAGACATCCAGAGAAACATTAGATGTCTGTTGGGGGCAAGGGGTAAATATAGGTGAGAAGATTTTGAACTTTATTTGGAAGACAGACCAAAGCTAAGGACTAACAAGGACTGGATACAGCATCAGAGGCTGGATGAATAGGAGGCACATACAGGTCAGCAAAGGTGGTGCTGCATTCAAGTTCATTGAAAAGGCAGAGACACGCCCTTTTCCTTGTGGAATGAGTATGGTTTGCAAAGGATTTAGAAGCTAACTAAAAAAGAAGAGGAAGACAACAGTCACAGGAGATCTCAAGGTAGTAAGGACAGGCACGTGAGCAGACAGGGTATTTCCCACCAGTGACAGAAACAATGGAAGAAAGCTGCATCAGAAAAGTAATACCTTGAATTCAAAGGAGCAACAAAAGATCCAATAGAAAAGGAACTGAGAATAGGATAAAGGTTGATTACAGAGGCAAATTGTGAGCCTTCGGCATCTAGGATGCACTTAACAAAACAAAAAGGAAAGCCCATCTTAAAGGAAAAATAAATAGTGTCAAAACTTGAAATCCATGAGATTCTAGAGGAAAATACAGCATACTGGGTGGGGGACAACATCACTTCCTATAGAGACACTGAAAAGAACACCAGCTATTTTGTAGGGGCACAAGTCTTAAGGCTAAGGTAGGAAATAGAGAAACACATCCCAGCCAAATCTTAGAAAAAGACAGAAAAAAAAACATTTCATGCAGGAAACCTCTGTTGGTGAGAGATGCAGAGACAGCATGCTTTGGAAAGGCGAAATAAGCATTCCAAAGAGCATGACAAAAAACATGTAAATGAACTCTAGGTGAGGGATGTGCTCAGACATGACAGCTTAGGACCAAAAGAAGAGACTGAGAAGGAAGAAGGCTGTGAGTAGTGTGGTGTATCAGAGCAGTCTGTGCTAGTCCCAGCTCTCGGGCTGCTTCCTTTGCCTCAGAACTGCTAACGAGTGCAGACCATTTTTCATTATCTGCTGTTCCTCTGAAAGTTTTCCAAATGCATCATTAGCAGTGCAGCCACAGCAGCTTCCCCTTCGTGGTATTTCTCAGAATCTGAACACAAGATTTGTCCTTTGCTTTTCCCATCATGGTTACCATGTGTGTCTTGAGACAGTGTTTTGGGTGGCAGATGTGGGTGAGATGGCTCAAATCAGAGGAAGCTGAAGAACTGCCTTCATGTCCAAATGGTAAAATCTCCTGGCTCAAAGATACAAAGTGCTTTCCACTGGCATTTTCATTATTAGTTAAAATATACAAAATGGCTTTCACAGTATCACAGTATGCTAGAGATTGGAAGGGACCTCGAAACATCATCTAGTCCAATCCCCCTGCCGGAGCAGGAACACCTAGATAATGTTACACAGGAATGTGTCCAGGCGGGTTTTGAATGTCTCCAGGGAAGGAGACTCCACAACCTCCCTGGGCAGCCTGTTCCAGTGTTCCATCACTCTCGCTGAGAAGAAGTTTCTTCTCAAGTTTAAGTGGAACCTCTTGTGTTCTTTGAAAAGAAAAATCGTTGTTCTCCCCACCCACAATGACATTGTCTTACCAACACAACCATAGTCCCATTCCTGTTGGTGGAAGCACATCCATGCACTGCCCATTCAAACAGAGGCCATGGTCAAGTAGAGCACAGGGAGGCTGGTAAAAGCAGAGAGCCCTCAGGCTGTGAAGCTGGATGGAGGCCAAAAGCAACTGCACAGCAATTCCTGAGCCACAGAACCAAAGAGGGCTGAGATCCCCAAGAAGCTCCAGGCTCCCTAGGAAGCTAAGCCTGTCACAGGCATGGTGACAATACAAGGAACTCCAGCATCAACAAAACCACTCCCAAAACTTCAAATTTCAGGAAGTAATTCTTAGCAGGGTATTAGGAAGGGGAGACACTTCCCACTGTGAACACAGAGATCCACACTTTGCTTTCCTGAATATTCATTAGTCTAAAAAAGAGCTGCACGTGTATCTCTTCCAAATGACCTGGTCAGGAAGTTGTGGAATTTGGAAAGCTCCATTAAAACAACTTCAGAGGCATGCTAATCCCTACCTGATTCACCATGCTGTCTGACAAGTGCCTTCTCTGTCCCTCTCCTGCCCCACCCCTTCTGCTTCCTTGGGAAGCATCTCACTGCGGTCTGCCTGGCCCTGTCACCTGCAGCCATCTCCAGTGCCTCTTTACAAACTCCGTGTTGTTCTGAATAACAGCACATTTAAAAAGGGTGAGGCTGGGGCAAAGTCACTGGCCAAAATTACTCTATCAGTCTCTTAATACATGCGTGATTACACAGCCAAGGGTCTCTGGCCAGAGACTTCAAGTCCACCTTATTGGATATTTGCAAAAAACCTTCAAGAGTCTGGATGTCTAAAGCAGACTTTCAGCCTTGGAGAAGAGTTACAGAGAGTACGTGTTCCTCCACGTACGAGGTGGCTTAAAATAAATTCTCACAGTGATTAATAATTAACAAAAAGCTCAGATTTTTGTCTAATATGGCCTCTAGCTCCTGCTACAGAAATTGAAAAGTTACCTATCCAAATCCTGTCTCCCATCTCTTACTATACTAAGATACAACTGAGTATACTAAGTTATATATACATATATGTATACTAAGTTAGTATATAAGTATACTATATATAGTATATATAGTGTGTATATATATATACTATAACTATACTATCCAACTAAGATACAGCAACCTTACCTTAGCTCAGCTCTTGTAACAATGTTTCAAGGTTAAATACAGTTCAGAATCCACAAGGCAATAGCATTTGTATAAAACAATGTGATCCCCCCACCTCTGACACAATATGCCAGTGCATACTGTTGCACAAGGTGGACCTCTTCTGGTGAGGAGCTTGTGCTCCAAAACACCTGGTTCCATTAGCCCTGGCTAAGCAGAAGCCTACAGGGATCACAGCATGATACAGCTTTGTTTCAAGGTAACTAAAGCACATGGCAGGGTCAAGGGGAAGCAGCAAGTCAGAGAGATACACACACGTTGAGCGCTTACCTCCAAGAGCGTCAAACTTTCATTGTTCAAGATGGTTCTGGGAGGTGCAACAACTGAAGTTAAAAAACAAGTTACAAAACAGGACCACCCAAGAAGCAAAACAATAAATACAGCAGCTATGGGAGGGATTGCTGCTTATTAAAGCAGTGACGCATTCACACTGCCCACACAGGCTTCTTGATAGGCACAAGCACAAAGTGGCTGAGTGAGCAGGTTACACCTTTGCACTCTGAGGCTGTATTTAGGGAAGAAATTCTTCCCCAGGTGCCTCAAAGCATTAAAAGATCCCATATGCACCACAGCTAGGAATAGGCTTTGTAAAGTAAGGCCAAATATTACCAACAGCACACTCACACAAGTAAAATGGCAACTCTGCATCTGCAAGATGGCTTCTTACAAAGGCTCTCAAAATGCCAACTGTGGAAAAAAGAAAGAAAGGTTTGCTGAACTAGGTTTGCTTCTTCAGATGCAGGGCAAAAAGGATACCCTGTAACAGCTGCTGATAGCCTTTTCCTTAAAGGAACACTTTTACTACTACAAATATCTTGAACAACAAAAAAAAAAAAACAACCAAAAACACACAAAACCCCCCAAACAAAGCTGGACTGGTTGCTCCCTAGGCAAATTTAAGGATGCCAGTGAAGTTCTCCTAGGAAATCCAACAGCAGCTGTAAGATTTGCAGAGCCCAGCCAGGTGAGACTCTGGTAACTAATTATTAGTTCTTGTTCCATACAAAAGTACTAAAAACAACCCCCCTCACTGTAGGTAAGCATCAATGCCAGCAGAGAATGAGGGGATCTCCACTGCAATAGGAAGAGCTACTTGGTGTATGGTCTGGCCACCTTTTGTGAACTGATAGAGGCAGAAAGGTTCATCCCATTATTACAGTAGGTAAAGCTTCTTTTTCTTCTTCCTGGTTTGGGGTTTATTTCAGATTGGGACAAGGGGGTGGTGCTGGTTTCATAGAGGAGGTGTCCAAACTCATCTCAGTAACACACTATTTGGACACAAGCAACGGGATATCAGAGGAGACAGTTTCCTGACTGCAAGTACTTCACCATCAAGTAGGCTGACAGTCTCAGCCAAGTAGTCATGGAAATAAACTCCCCTTAGCTAAATTAATCCCTCCAGATTCCCCATCCCATTCAGGGGCCCTGTAAGGACAGCATAACCAGCTACTGTTGCTTTTTCAGAGCAGTATTACTTCCATGGACAGCAGAAAGATCTGTTCAGAGCCATGCCCTTCTATCATGCAACTGATCGGTGATAAGACGTCAGCTGCAGCTACACAGACTGGAGACTGCTCTTACCAGTTTCACTAGGATGGAAGAACCCCTGTAGAACATAACGGTCTGGAAAACGGACTCTCAGCACCACCTAAATCAAAAGCAAAGCACATCAGGTGAATTATTATGGCTGTACTGTAACATCCCTCCTTGGCTTAGAATTGGTGAGCGAGGTGGGGTCTGGGGGTTTTGGCTGGTAGGTTGTTTGGTTATTTTTAAATTGGGAGATTTGAGATATTTCCATTACAGGAGTAGAACACCATACTGGCAGCTCCTCAAAGAACATGGGCTGTCTGTCTTTCAAAGGCTGTAAGAGAGTTGATCTATAGCAACAGCATGATGTACAATGCAGCAGAATTCACTCAGAGAGCAGGAGCATCCTGCCTAAGTGATGTACAAAGAAGAAAGTTACACATGGACAGGTACAGACAGTGCTATCAGTATCCTCAAGTGTCCATAGCAGCAGGAATCCTCCTGCCATATGTCTGAAGTAATTCTTACCATTCTATTTCCAGCACTGGTCAAAAATACTTAACTTGGGAACTTAATCTCATACTGCTTTGCAGTAAGTAACCAAAGACAAAAACAGCATTAGGACTGCATTTATAAAGTAAGATATCTCCAATCTGAAACATCTTATTATTTAGCCTGCAATCAGATACTTTCAAAATATAAGTCTACAGAGGAGAGGCTAATCAGAAAGCTCAGTCATTAATAGAATCATAGAATAGTCAGGGTTGGAAAAGACCTTAAGATCATCAAGTTCCAACCCCCCTGCCACGGGCAGGGACTCCTCACACTAAACCATGCCACCCAAGGCTCTGTCCAACCTGGCCTTGAACACTGCCAGGGATGGAGCATTCACAGCCTCCCTGGACAACCCATTCCAGTGCCTCACCACCCTAACAGGAAACAATTTCTTCCTTATATCCAAACTAAACTTCCCCTGTTTAAGTCTTAACCCGTTACCCCTTGTCCTATCACTACAGTCCCTAATGAGCAGTCCCTCCCCAGCATCCCTATAGCCCCCCTTCAGATACTGGAAGGCTGCTATGAGGTCTCCACGCAGCCTTCTCCAGGCTGAACAGCCCCAACTTCCTCAGCCTGTCTTCATACAGGAGGTGCTCCAGTCCCCTGATCATCCTCGTGGCCTCCTCTGGACTTGTTCCAACAGTTCCATGTCCTTTTTATGTTGAGGACACCAGAACTGCACACAGTGCTCCAGGTGAGGTCTCACAAGAGCAGAGTAGAGGAGCAGGATCACCTCCTTCAACCTGCTGGTCACGCTCCTTTTCATGCAGCTCAGGATATGGTTGGCTTTCTGGGCTGCAAGCACACACTGAAGCCAGCTCATGTTCAGTTTCTCATCAAATGTTCATTTTCTCATCATTCATTCATGTGTGCACAACATAAGGGGTTTGAAACATCTGGAACAAAATCAAAGGAGATAGATTGCCTGCCCCCACCCGTGTCACTACAGGACAGCTGATTTTATGTGGCACAACTGTTGTGCAAGTCCCACAAGCAATGAACAGGGACAGAAATTTGAAGTGTCTTCCTGTAAGTAGCTCAAGGTCCTGTTATCACAACTGATTCCCAAAGTTACTCAACCCCTGAGCCTGTACTAGCCAGAGGGACTGGAAAAGAACAAAGGCTACCTTTGGGTAACGCTCTAACTTTTCCTTCAGCTGAGCCTCCCTCAAGGATTTTGTCATCAGTGGAGCTTCTTCCAGGCGTTTCCTAGATATATGGGAAGAAGACAAGCTGTCACTTCTGTAACCAGCAGAGTTGATGAGAATGCTCAACTGTTCCGTGTCTCCCTCTCAGCATTTTCCCAACCTTCTATGGCTCCTATCCCAGAATCTCATATATAGAACTACTGAGCATCAGCAAAAATACTATATAACATTAATGTACAAGTTTTAAAATAAGTTCACTAGAGCAGATGCCAGAGAAGTTATTAAGAAAAGCACAGGAATGTTTGCTTACACTACCCAAGAAGAGACAGAATTATTAATCCAGTAAAACAGTGCCTAAGTTGGATGTAATTACTCCAGGGAGCAAGAAGAGCTACTGAAGCTGTAAAACAATGCTAGCACAAGAAATTAATGGGTATTAGTTAGCAACAAGGAAACAAGAAGAGAAGTTTCAGATCATTCAAGAACTGGCACTGCAGACTGATGTCTTAAAAGGAGTAGTGGGTGAAAACAAAATTTAAAATGAAACAATGAATTCAAGAAAACAATTATATATTTTCCTGTAAGTGAAGAAATAAGGTTAGACCAAACAGATTCGATGCTCAGCTTTAGACCTTCTTCCTTGGTCACACTTAATTCTGAATAATCAATTTACGAGGCTAGATTGTGGTGAAACATTTGATCTTGTAATTCTGCACAACCATTTGCAAGTTAATCTCTTACACCTATACAATTTGAAGTATCTTGGGAATAGCTGCTGAACAAAACAAGTATAGACTTAACCGAGCATGCCCAGACTGTCAGCTGGTACAGCATATCCCAAGATGCTGTGGAAGTGCCAGCTCCCTTCCCTCTTTGTGTACCAAATACTGATCCACACAAATTTCCAGCTCTTCACAAAGTCAGAACTAAATTCTAATCGCATTTAAAATACTGCACTATGTGCAGCGAGTTTTTGGTAAGATTTGCTAGGTGAGATCAGAAGCCAACTGGTATTAGATTCATGTGTAACTTGCTTTTATTTTTACCTGTGTCTGTGAGGGGCAAATGCATTTACAAGCATCAGCGAATTTGGAAATTAGGTTTTTTTTCCGTTTTTTTTTTTTGAGAGTGCTGTATTCCAGTAACCCCCAAACAAATGATCCTACCTTTGTACCAATAAATATTCTAGACCTACAAATTGCAGAATTTTCAGGCCAATCTGTGATTTCATGTGGATTTCAACAGCCTTTGGGGAAAAAAATCAACTCTAAGTAAGAATTTCAAATCAGACCTGGTTAGAGTGTGAAGCAGGCTGTCCCATAGTCTCAGAGAACACTTGTAATGTTTAAAGGAATGTTATGACCCACTTGAAACTAAATACATTCACGAAATTGATTTCTTCAGGAAAATACAAACAGCAAAATGCTGCTGTGATGGGGAGGCTAGTTTATCTTAATCTGGATTTTTAGCTCAGAAGTGGAATAAGAGTAAAATCATGAAAATTTCACAGCAAGCTACTTGAACAGTGAGATGCATAGTTAGTCCAGCTTCCTATACTTCTTCCCCTTCTTTGTGTGTGTTCCAAACATTCTCATGTGACTAAATTTGATTTCACTTTATTTCCATTTAAGTAACATCTCAAAGTTGGTCTTTTCTGTTAAAATATAAGGTGTTTCTTAATGGCTGAAAATGCTACTAGTTACTACTGTAGTTACTGAGAGTTATTCCTATGAAGCTGGATTATTGTATTCATATATTTAGCCATCAAAAGTTACAATTTCTATTCATTTCATTCCTACTTAAGTTAATGTAAAGTCAGTTCAAAACAGATAGCATGAGCTCACTGCCACTTTGGGCCTCTAGTAAGAGCACATCTCACTACAAAGCCAGTGGCTCCTCTTTCAGAAGAACAGAGGAGGAAAGAAATAAAATGTGGTGGGGTGTTAAATGGCTTTGAGTAACTCCCTGAAATGCAGAACACAGGAATTTTTCTTCTAATCCTTTCTCAGTGGGGGCCCACCCTCATTTGCCTGAGGTTCTCAGATAAACTTATCCCCACATCAGACCCACAGACACTTCGGGATGGAAATTTCAACATCCACATGAAAACATTATCCCATGCACAAGCGCTCAACTGATTCACACAAAAACACAAGTCCTATCACAGCAACAGGACATTGCCCTTAAACTCAAATGGCATAAAAGGCAGAGATTTGCAGTGCTGATCCTTAATTCATTAATTCCACACCCAGTAACTTATCTACAACCCTTTACCCAGAGATCACAGCCAGCTATAGGCACACAGTGTCACTCTGCTCAACAAAAGCAAATGAAGCAGTCTCAAGTAGGCAGCAGGAAGGGAACTTGCCTCTCACTCTGCAGCTGTGCCAAGCGTTTCCGCACATCATCCACTGTGACTTCAAAAAACTCATCAGGAAGCTCTTCTGGGCCAGCAGGAAGTGGTTCCAGAAGGTCCAGGTGACATACAAGTGGCTCTCGGTCTACAAGCTACAAAATAAAAATGAGTTTCAATTAGTTTCAAACGCATTGCTATGCTTATGCTGTACGGGTCCTGGAAAAAAAGGAAAAGGACAATATTTGCAAATTGGTGTGGAAATCATGTCAGTAGGATCAGACTAATGACATAGAGGTTGGCAGTGTTGTCATTCTTTATTGTTGATAGAGCATGGGGCACAACTCCCCTCAGCAGGCAGCAGCAATCTGTTGTCAGAGGAGTCACGGCCCAGCAGTGACCTGCTCTCCACCATCAGTGTAGGAAGCCCAGAGTAGTACCCTCAGCAGTCATCTAATGTAAGAAGAGATAACTCCCTTCCACATAGTGCCTGTAGAATCCCTTCACTTACAATACAGTATTTTGCAGCTGAATCATATTTCTAGCTAGTTACAAGCTTGTTACAAGTACTCAGGAATCACCCCTGTCCCAAAATCATAAGCTCTCTCTGCTCTACTCCAAAATTTTTTCAGTACATAATCACTTCCTGACTATTCTATAACTTACACAGGTGTCATACTTCATACTACAGAATATAAGCTGTCCCTTAAGTTTTCACCTGCCCTGCATTCCTGTTTCACATTGTATCTTCTGTTCTCTTTGCTTCACATCCTCTTCCACAGAATCAATGGCACTAGCTCCCAACCAGGGTTCACTCCATTTCTTCTCACTCTGGAGAGCAATGCTGTGTTTTGGTTAAGGCAGTTTCTGACCTGAGCTCTCTGAACTGAGCCACTGCAGGGTTTCATTGTACATGTTGCAAATTTTTAACTTGGCTTCCAGATCGCGGGAAGCTCCCCTGGACAGTGAAACCCCTTTTGTTTTGTACTTACAAAGTACTTAGCACTGAAATCAGCCTTTGGTGTAGGCAAAGTGGGCAGATGCAAGGAACAGTTCACTGTATGTATTAGCTACAATAAAGGCACTTAATCCATTTATCAGCAATTTTCCCTATGCCCCAGTTGCTGAGCAGCACACAGCCTTCAGCCAGCCAAGATACCGCTTACCAGCGCTGCCGTGCTCAGCTCCCCCTTCCAGAGCCCCCCATGTTGCAGCGGGCATCATGAGGGCAAACCCTGAGGACAGGGTCCTGGCTTAGGACTGTGGTCACACTTATTAAAAAAACCAATGAAACCCAACACCAAGACTCACAACCCCTGAAAACCCCAAACCAAAACCCCACTCCACCCTCCCACCCTATGAGACAAACAGCATCTGCAGTCTCTGAAGGGAGAACATTATGTGTCCCTCCCAATTTAGAAGAGATTTTAGACTGGCTACTACCCTTATATCAAAAGCAGCACCTGTGGCAGTATGTGAATATAAACCACTACCAGAGTCGAATACACAAGAGGCAGTTACACCTATTGGCTCTGGAACAATTCAAGCTCTTTAAATCACAGAAATGTTTAAGCACACAGCACTTGAAAAACAAGCAGCCAGGAGCACTGTGGGCTGCAGGCACTGCAGGGCAAGCGGCGCACGGCTGAAGAGCCCCACAAGAACAAATACTCTGACAGTTAATACAGCACTGCCATGGAGTCAGCTGCCAGCCTAACCCCAGGCTCTGTGAACAAACCTGATGCTCATTTCTTCTCCCTTTATTCCCTCATATATTCTTCCAAGTCTCCCACATGTTCCATCCGCTCTCCCTTCCCCCAGGCACAGGCCCCTTGGGAACAGGAGTCTCCCTCAGTTGTCAAAGGGACAACACAAATTACAAGGCAATGTTCACTCTGCTGTGGGCACTAAAGGGTAATTTAAGAAATTAAAAGAGGAGGTTGTGTGGGTGGGACCAGGGCTACTTTTAGAAAGTTGAGCAGGGTCAGCTCTAACCAGCGGGTGAAGGAGCCTTATTGCAGCTTTCCTGGGGCCAGGGGGATGCCCAATGCTGCGGGAGGGATCCTGAGCATGCAGAGCCACCCCCTGGGAAAGGGGCTGTTGCACACTGGTCACAACTACTGCCCACACCTGCTCCAGTAAGGCCAGAGGAGAATCAGATGGGGCTCCCCGAGACTCAGGAGTACTTCAATCTCCTCAAACAGGCTGAAGTTTCATTTCATTCTGAACACACAGACTGAAAATAGACAAAAAACAGACTGAGCAAGACATATCCTATGATCCTATGGCATGTTGTGAAGGGTGCTGGGATACAACGGAGAGAATTCCAGTGTCTGCATTAGCAAATCCTAAACTTAGCATTTAGTATTGGCTCTAGCAGGCACTTCAGCTAATGCTAACAGCAGCAGGATTCCACAGGAAAAGCATCAGTCGCTGCCCAAAGCACAGCAGTAGCTAAAGACTTCAATCAAGACATCAGAAATCACGAGATAGCCAAAGGTAGACATACATTCCAGTCCTAAGCGTTCACCCCTCTTCCTTGCTGCGGGTTTACTGCTCCGGACCACTGCACGTTACAACTGTCAGTCAAGCCTCGCTTTCCACACGTTGTCATTTATCAGATAGGTCTCCACTGCCAGCAAGGTACTAAAATGGGCAGTCAGGAACCTCCTCTCTAGAGCCATTCCCCAGCCAACCAGAACTACCTACACAACGTGATACAAAATCCACTACTTCCCAGACGTAAACACCCATTCCTGACCTCCAGCTTACATCCAGCCAGATGTCCCCATGCATCCCCTGCAGCCTACCTGTGCTGGCCCTGCACAGACACACGCTCCTTGACCTCCAAGTGCGCTATTTTATCCGCTTTCCAAGCCAACACCAAATGCTGGTATCATAATTTCCAGACCAAGACACGTTACCTATCTACTACTTAACATGAAGAAACATACTTTCCTGTACAAAGGAGCAGATCTGTGCATGTCTAACCACACTGCAAAAAAACCAAACCATCACAATTAAAAGTAAGAATTTCCTAACATTAAATGTTCAGCTAACCCCCAATATCAGAGTGAGAACTCTGCAGACAGCTCTAATGAGTGAGGGTTTGGGAAGATAATTCAGGTATTTTGAGATTGTTTTTCAGAGTTTCTGCAACTCAATTCCAAAACTGCACAATGGGGTCTGATCAGAGAAGGGCAGCACAGTGTCTACTAAGCACTGCTTAGCAGCCAAAAGATCTCTGATCTGAGGATGCAGAGGCTGCCACATCATATCATCATCATATCTCTTCTGCCGTGTATTTGCACCCCATGTAATTTACATCTTGCATCCTTACAGACATAAGAAACACTCTTCAGACAGAAAGAGGAATCCATCCATTCCTACTGCTTTACCAGTTCTCTTTCCCTGGAGTCCAGCCATCACCCTGTTCCTTTTTCTTCATCCATTACCATTTGCTTGCTGAGGTATTCCAACAAGGCCTTTCTCAATCTGAGCCTTCTTTTAATGTGTCACCAACAAACTTAAAGCACAGGCAGAACCGGAAAACTACCTTCCCCTTGGAGATTACAAAGAGGCTCCAGGTGCACCACCTTGCTTTCCAGCCCACATCCCAGCTTCCTGCAGCCATAGCCAAAGGTAACCACCTCCTGTCAAAAACAGCAGTTTCTACCTCCCATTACTTAACTCTGGAGGAAAGCAAGCTCTGCATTTTGCTGGCAGGTTTCTGTCAGAGATACCTTTCAGGAGCCAAAGACGCTGCGTAATGGTTTGTCCTTCATTGTTCAAAGTCTCTACCTCTGTTACCAAGGTTGAAATGCAAGACACTTTCTACCAGCAGGCTGAAGCCATCTAATTCACACCAGTGTCTACCAGGCAGTCTAAGTAACTGCAGCCTCCGTGATAAAGCAGGTGCCAGGAGGAATGCAGCTCACTGGATGGTCACCACCACAGACCTAGGGAAGCAGGGAAGCTGAGGAAAATGTTCAAGTGAGTTTAAGTGAAGTAGTGGCAACTGTGCGTTCCACAGCAGCAAGCTCTCGCTGGAGACCCACCTCCTACCCACCACCTCAGGGAACTCTAATCTCATGGGGAATCTGGTGTAAAGTTACCTTCTAATAATTAATGTCCTGACATCAAAGTCAGCACGCAGCTGTCTGTAAATCATCCTTAGCCCAAGAAACGAAGGGACGCCAGCACAGATTTTATCCAGCCTCTCTCTTCAGCTTCAAAAACCACACACAGGCAAAGCATTAATGGGAAGATTCTTTTACAAAAATGGACCTTTGATGTTTAAAAATAATTTGTTTTGTTTTGGGTTTTTTCCTCAGGACTGAAAAGGGACAAAAAGCAGATGCCATGTGGCCAGGCCTGCTCTGCTGTAGCTGCTGAGAGCAACGAGAGCAGAGGATGGCAGGAACAGAGGAGGGAACAAAATGTAATCAATCAGCAGCAAAAGCACCAGAGATCAAAGGGCTTGAAAGCAGCCGTCAAAATCACATGCTGTTTAACACAAGGGCAGAGCCCCCCCAACAGAATCCGCAGCTGCTTCCAAAGCTGCTCTCACACTGGAGGGGAGGCTGGCTCCAGAAGTGCCTCTGAGTGGTTTGAACTGGACTGCAACCCCCAGGCAGATGGCGGATTATAACAGTCCTCAGGCCACCGCTGCACAGCTCCGTGCCCAACAAGCTGTAGCCAGTAAAATGATGAAATGAGTCGTCTCTCCTGCCAGCATACAAAGAAGTACAGACAACGGGACCAGTGAAGAATCCCAGCACAAACCCTCGCACTGCTTCTTTTCAGACACAACTGAAACTCCTCCTTTCCAAATCCCCCATAGGCAAGAGTGCAACTGAAGCAAGCAACACACTAGACTGGACAAATCACCCAGCCTACCATTCAGTGCTCCATGTGCAGGGTCTGTTCCCAAAGGTTCAACAACACCGATGAGGTGGACCAAAACGTGTTTCTAATACATGAAAATATTCACCACTGGGTTGGCAAAGCCTCTTCCTGCTACATTTGTAACTGCTCCAGAGTGCTTCCAGGGCCTGGCTTCTGCTCCTGAACAATTCGGAAACTCATAAAGAATGAACTGCCACCACAGAGAAGTCAACCAAGGTAGAATCTCCACACCAACTTGAGAACATACATACAGTCCTGCTAAATTCCTCCTGGATCAAGCTCCCTTTGAACCTCATCAGGCACTTTCTTTCTACCTAAGGCTTTCCATGGTTTAATCCCATGGCTGTATCAGAACCAGAGATAAACACAAAACTCTCACTCTAGGAGGTCCTAAAAAGTGGGAAAACATGAAGGGGATCTCTGAATGCTAAAGCCAACCATAGTGATGATATGTGCAGTGAAGGGGCAAGAGAAAGAGCTGGTCACAGAGAAACCAGGACATGAAATTCCCAATGCACAACAATGTGGAGTAAGGTACGAATTTAAAGCCTCCTGTAGCTCATTTTACACTGCCTGCCAGACATCCCCAACCTTGCTGAAGGCATTCAATTCCATACAGCTGCCCTAGAGAAAGCCTACTTAACAGCATTCAAAGGCAATCCTGTGATGGCATCACAGCACTCTTGAGCCATCAGTTCTGGTATCTCTACATGGGCTAAAGCATTTTTAAACAATACAGTTTTACTACAGAGACACCAACAATGCAATGAGATGTGTAACTGTCTTGCTGGAAAAAGGGTCAGAAAGAGGTAGACTTTATTTAAGCAGCAGGATATTTTAGAGCAAGACAGAAAAGACTTTTATATGCAAGCAAAAATACAGAAGGAAAAGGATGGAAGCTTTCTGTTTCATCTGCAATACTAAGAAAATTAGACTCACAGAAGGGATGGGACTGGACTAAAAGAAAATTGTCTAGACCTGTTTGTTTGCGATTTTTTTTCCAAGTATTGAACTCTTAGCAAGTGAGATGGAACCATAGCTGAAAAATTCCTTTCCTAGCTCTATACCCCTTTCATTCTACCACGTGTCACCTAGAGTTAAAATGTAAGTCAGAGTGACCACAGGCAGAAGGAACTCTGAGGAAGCAGATGTTAACAACTGTCAGCATGGGATAATGCTGACAATGGACAATAGCTTTACGAAGGAGTTCTGTGTCCCACAGAAAGGCTCAGATGAGAAAGCACACCTTACAACCTAGGTGAAACTCTGACCATGTTTTCAGATCTTCAAAGTCATGGAATGAAGTTGCAACAACTCTATTAAGACCACTTCTGCTCCTAGGACAATCCTACAACAAGCTACAAATGTTATCCCTTTCCAGATATAAAACTAACAAGTCCATGTGATCTGGGAGGTCAGTCAGGTACAATAAGCAGTAAGCACCTTCAGAGTATTATAAAACACAAGTCTGGTGACATCTAGTTCTGCCAAGACATCTAACTCCATATTATGGGAAAAAGTCTTAAATATGGAAACATCTTTTTCCTTGTAGGAGTTCAGCCTCAAGCAAGGCAGGATAAAAAAAGCCCTCATTTCAAACAAGTTTTCCCTTACCTGTTCTTGCTCCTTTTGCAGTTCTTGGCTGTTCTTAGACTTCTTTGGCTTAGAAGGGCCTCCAGGGCTAGAAGTTGTTGTTGGCAACATTGAAGATGACATATCTAACCCAAGAAATGGTGCAGCCACAGAAGTGTCCCCCAGACGTTGTCCATCTCCAAAAGAAGGGACAAATGGGGTCAACTCAGGCTCTGAGGAAGGCCACAGCTCTTCCAAGCTGGCATGAGATTCTCTAATTGAGTCTTGCTTGTCTGTGCAGCTGTTTAAAGACATGGCCACATCCCCGTGGTCCAAGTCCTTTGGGAATGTGTTTGCTTGAGGTAGGGGAACATCCACTGCTCCTTCAATTGGGTCTTGCCTCACTGTCAGCTCATTACACTGCACCGTGGCACCCACAGCTTCCTCCTGACCAGATGAACCGCATTTCTTCATGACAACTCTTAGAGAAGACATCAAAATAAATAAAAACAAAATCATTTATCCTAACAGTACTGCCCTCCCCGTTCCCAACATGACCATGGCATAAAGACAGCTAGACTGAAATATCCCCTAATTTAATGATCTGCTGCTTCCAGAAACTCACAAAGAACAAGCCCTAGCTGCTCTGAAGTTAAGGGTGGGGGACAGGGGTTTGCGCAAAAAAAAAAAGAAACAGAACAGGAACTACCAACTCCACAGGAAGAACTCTGGCTTCCAGGAAAAAGCAGCATTGAGTTGTAACGCACAGCTTCCAATCGCTCCTGCCTCCAGGATATAAAGCAAAGAACTGGCTAGATCACAGAAAGGCTGCCACTGTCGCCCACCTCACCCTCCCAGTCAGCAGGAGGCACTGCACGGACTGGGAGGCAGGGAAGAATGAAGTGGTAGACAACTGCCCCCTCAGAAAGATTTTTCACTTTGAATTGTCTGTTCCACTCACAGGAAAGAAGAAAAATAAATAAAGAGGAGGAAAGAAACAAGCAAGCTCCTTTAATGTGCACATGGGGGTCAGTGCCAGCAGCTGCAGCTGCGGGGAGCACATCTGGGCAGCAGTTTCTGATAAAAAGCAAATGCAACAATCCAGAGCCGTGTGGTTGTCATTCCTGAGCACTGTTCGGTGGTCACTGCTGAGCTCTCTGTTTGTCACTCTGAACTCTTTCTCTTGGGGTCCCCCCCGCCTTTTTTAATTTTATTTTAAATAAAACAAATTCACCCCCAGAGTAAAAAGACAAAATAGAGCCCAAACTTTGCTCCTCCCAACCTGACGATGGCGCTGCCTCCAGTCAGGCCAAGTGACTTCAGCGTTGTCTTCTCTAGGGCATTTTTTCCTGAGATCTGCAACAAAACCAGAGGGAAGTAATTGTGGCAGCTGCCTCCCTGGGAGAGCATGTAAAGTGCTCTTTCTAGAAAGAAGCTTCTATCCAAACAAACATCACACAGCACCAGAAACAGCACAAAACACACTCTGCAGTTGGAAATGAGATTGGAATGCATCTGTATTCACCTGTACTGCTGTACCAAATTAACTGCTTATTAAATGATGTGAAGGGAAGATGACCTACATATTCTTTCATCCCATACATCCGTCCCAAACAGATCCAACCTCAGCAAAGCATTATTTTCATGTCAGAAGTTAAATCACTGGCAACATCTCAGAGCCGACAGACAGACAATTTCATTACATACACCTCCCATGTTTGTAACGACCTGCTCCAGAATAAAGATGATCTGTCCACAGAGGTCAGCAGGAAGTGAAGGGACAGCTAGGGAGAGCAAATTCCGTAATACACACATACAAAATATTAAACAAAACATTAATAGCAAAAGATCAAAACACAGAGAAAAGCAAATATTTATTAAAATGAAGCCACTGTTTTGATTCAAGCTTTAAAAGAAGTTGGAAAGAAAAACACAAACAGGTCATTGAGCTCATTTTATGGGCTCAGAGGTCTAAACAGCCCAGTGTTAGGTTCCAAGAAAGTTTTTCCATACAGACACGTCATGCTTTGAAAAGACCAACATTTTTCTACTGCCCCTCTCAAGAAAGTTCAAAAGAAACACTTTCCAGGTTGGAAAGCAGAGCTGAGTTTTTCTTATTTTTTAGGGACAGAAGGAGGAGAGACAGTTAAGACGACTTTGCTGACTTACCTCATCTCGCATGTAAACACAGACTGGAGAGAATTCACCATGTTGTTCCATAAACTCCCTGCAGTAAAAAGCAAAATACTGCAGCACCTGTAGACAAGCCTACTGCTCCCAAAACCAATGCACAGCAATAGCAAGAAGTGCCATTAGCTAGTAACCCTCTCCTCCATGTCCCAGGAGCAACAACCATTACACAGAATCAGTATTAGACATTAGGTAAAGAACTTGCTCCAATGCATTCACTGTTCCTTAAATGCAGCCCTGAAAACTTAAAACCTAAGTCGAAATAATTAAAGTTAGCTCTGAAATTAGCTGATCTTACCAGATAAATTTGAGCACATCATTCTTCATGTGCCTTAATACCCAATCTGGATCACAATTCAGTAATACTTGCCCTTTTGAATCCCTCCTCCAAGTTAAATAGTTACCAGACTTTAGACTGTACTTGTCTTGGGACAGGTCAGTTTCTTTCTGTGTGTGCATTACAACAGAAAGAAATACTGCAAATTGAACAAAATGAAGCAAATCAGAGAAATGAAAGCTTGAACCTCAAGTTCCCTGTCTATCAGGAAAGGTGGATGATTACCATTTAGGAGGAGAGAACCAAGGCACAATGGAACACACGTGCTCATCACACAGACCCGTAAGAGACGAAACCACTTTGGCTTCCACAACCTAGTTTAATTCACCTTCCCAAACTGCTTTCTACTTCAATCCAAGCAACTCTTTGGATTGAAGAGTCATCTAAAAATGTATGGAAAATATCTGACCTTAATGAATGATACCATAAAAGCAGCAAAGAGACACAGTCATTGTCAAAACTGTCTTCAAGCATCCAAACTGTGATTGCTTCTACATAAAACAGCTTCAGAGCTGCTGAAGCTGCCAGCCAGGCAAGAGTGGGAGACAGAAAAGCAACAGTTCTCCCAGGCCTCATGCTAAAAGGGTATACAATGCTTGTGCCCTCAACCAGTCTCTGCAGAACAGACTCCAAGCAAAGATCCCCCAGAGACTTATTTTTGTATAACTCTTGTAAGCCAGTAGGCTCCTCCTCCAGCTGCTGTTAATCCGTTACATGCATTCACTGAGGCAAGCACACACATCAAACACACTGTCATTTCTTTGATGTGATGTTCTTCAGAAGGGGAACGGCAAGCAGATTAGATTCCTTCATGTAGTGATCTGACAGGGCCTGTAAACATCTTGTGCAAGGACTGCCGCACGCTGAGAGGAGGAGCAGCCTTACAATAGCTTCCAGACCTTCTCCATACCCAATTAGCCAAGATGGACGCTGAAAACCTGGGGGAAATTCCAGTGGATTTAGAATACTTCCCCTCACGCACTTAGAGCAGCTGAGTATTCCAGGAAAAGGTCTCCAGTTGGAAAGTCAAAGGAAGGACTCAGCAAAAGTCAGCAACTAGCTGACTAGTTAGTCAACTGAGTCAATACACTGAAAATCAGCTCAGCCCATGAAGTCTATATGGATGGCTACAGATCCAGCTTGGTTTGTGACTGTCTTAGGCAGCATCTTTGCGGCTTGCTGAACTTAATCAAAAGTTTGCAAAGTCCACCCAAACATCTGAGCTTCCAGGGGGCACGAAAGAACAGCTGTGTCTTATGAGCTGAAGTTAATAATGCTTAGCACACTGGAGCAGTTAAGAAGCTTAAAAAGAGCAGCATGTACATTAGCTATTAGTATTACAATAACCTGCGACAAAAAAAAAAAAAAAAAAATCAACAAAAAAAAACTCCGAAGGAGCAAAACTGTATAAAAAGCTCAAAATTTTAATTTTTTAATTCTATATAAATGCTTATAATTTTAGTATTGAGAAATAAGCAGCAAAAAGCCACACAAAGGCTATTTGGCACTGTCCATAACTGCCACTCACACCAGTCTAGCAGTTCCTGAACTGCAACAAGCAGAGAGCACAAAGTACAAGAGGGCCCCTAAACACCTAGAAAAATTGTACCTGGCTCCTTTTGTCTACCTCTTTCCTCAATCAAAAGAAAAATCATTGTCTTCTCTCTAGTATTTACACCAAGACTGTCCTGACTTCAGTAAATGTCACAGGGTAGACCAGGTCCCTGACCATTAAAGACAAAGCGAATGGTAAGTAAGGCTCATTTGTATCACTTTAGAGTCAGTAGACTTCCTCAAGCATTACCCCAAACTATGGTTTGATGAAACAGCACATTGAGTGCCAAAACTGACATGCACCACTCCTACCCACCTGCTGCTTCCTCCTTTTGGCTCCTTGTTTCCAGACATGCTACACTTCCTGTCATAACTGCCTATGAGGGGCAACCCTTAACTGGGTTAGGGAACTTATCTACCTGAAAGATAATGTAGGGACAACACTATTTTTCACCTGCATCAGCTATTTAAGCCAATTCCCCACAAAGCTGAAGCTGCAGAAACAATTTGAAGGGAGTTAGACAGGAAGGCAGGAGGTGAGCACTAACTCTTCAATGCCCTGCCGCTATACAGATGTCCCTGATCCAAACTCCCTCCCTTGGGCCAGCAGCACTAGTCACTTCTTTGATCTTGTTACAGGCAAGTCCTACTAAGCTAGCAAGAAAGGAACAAAATCGGGGGGGGGAGGAACATTATCAAGAGAAAGGCAAAGCCAACTACCATAGGAAAAAATGAAATTTGGGAATTCTGTCCAGAATAGAATGGTTGTCACAGCTTGAAGACTTCATCTGCCAAGCCATGACAAAAATAAAAGAACTGTCTTTGGAGAAAAGTTCATTAGCTCGACATTTCAAAACAAAACAGTATTTTTAAGTCAAACTAAAGACAAAAGAAAGTTCTGAATGTAGACTGGACTCAAATAATAAGATTTATACCACCTGCATATATTCAACAAACGCAGGACCAGAAATTCTTCCATTTAAACAGGACATAATCAATCTTCTGAAGATTCCACACTAGCCTGCTGAAAGCTCCATATTTTCTTGAATAATCATAGAATCACAGAACAGTTTGGGTTCGAAGGGACCTTAAAGCTCATCCAGTTCCAACCCCCTGCCACAGGCAGGGACACCTTCCACTAGAGCAGGTTGCTCCAAACTTCGTCCATTGAGCACTGCCAGGGATGGGGCATCATTAACATGGAAGTACAGTTTCTTCCTGGCCTTAGCAGTCCGTTACCAGTTCATGCCCTGAACAATGAGTGCTACTCCAGGATTAAAAAATAATAATGAAACTGTGGAGTGTCAAATCTAAAAGAGCAAGGAAAAGGCAAACATCTTGTGTGGTACCTGAAAAACCACAGTCAAATAAATGCAATTTCTACAAATCCGCAGGACTTAGCTGGATCACTGTAACTATAACTAAATACTGTCATGCAGAGTTACACCTAAATAAGTATTTTCTCACTGTGTTGCTCACCTAATCTTTGCAAAATGGTTGAGAAGTTCCCACAGAGTCTGTTCACAGCGAAAGGTGTCTTGTAAACGGGAGCCATCATCCAACTGCAATGCGATCCGAACCTGTGGGAAAACACACTGAATTGATCTGGAAACTGAATGAAAACTTCCTTGTCTTTACAACTTGTTTAGGTATTTCAGTGATCTGTAGAACCTGCTATCCAAAAAACCATGACTTCCTTCTAAACACTTCCTGCAAAGGGTTACACTATTAAAAATGCAGAGGTGTATTCAAATGATTACTTTAGGAGTCTGGCATTTTTACCTGACTTCCCACTGGAATGGACAGCTCCTGAGCATGGAGGAGGCAATCCTTGACTATTAACCAGCTTTCCTGGGCCCTTCTTCCCTGACACATCCTGAACTGAAACGTATTCTGAGACAGGCCAATGCAAACGTCCCATTCAGTGTTTCCATGTGTCCCTACCAACAGGGTCAGTGCATCCTCCCACTCTGTGAGAGCGAGTGACACATGGGAAAGCATGCAGGGGAGAGCAAGAGTGTGACGGGAAAAAACAGGCTCCACACACTCCAGCAATCAACTGTGATTTCCTTGGTGGAATATGTTTGTCATCTGCCTCAGCTCCTACCAGTCCTTACAGGACTGCAAATTGTCATCTGCTGGAGACAGGAGTTTTTCTACATAAAGGGAACAGTGACATCATCAACAACTAGCCAACAGAACTAAGTTGTGTCATCCCACCATTAACACAACCTCCTGGTTTCTCCTATGCTGGAGACAAGTATTACATTATTCTCAGCTAGAGCAGAGTGATGACAGCTGACATCACCATTCTATAAGAACCCAGCGCAGAAATTCAGACTACTAGTTGCATCAGTTTCTGGGCAACAGTTCAAAGCTAAGCATGTCACGAAAGTCCTATTCAGTCAATTAGAAGTCTTTTTGAAAACCCCAGGCTCTATAAATAAAAGATAATTGGCACTGGTCTATTAAGTTTACAAACACATAAACAGAAGGTTAACAACTTTAACACTAGAACTGTACTGATGGTACCCCTGTATCACCCGCCACCACATAGGAGAATTTGTTCAACTTGTCACTAAAGAACTGTCTTATGGGAATTAATGATTTTTACATGTGAAAGAAATCCATCTACTTTAAATATATCATGTTTGCTGAACAAACTCACAATTTATCCAGACCAGTGTTCTGGCTCTAGGGGTAAGACTGCTGCCAGTGACGACAGGAAAGCACACCTACTTCCATGCAAGTTACCTCAATAAAGAGACAATAACAAAAGGCACAGAACCAAATTCATCCCAACATTACTGCAGCCGGCCTGCGTGATCAAGCCCACATCTCAGCTGCCACTGTATCAGGGCATAACACCAATGCCACCAGAGTCAGCTCTCGTCAAGCTAACTGGCTGTTTTTAACTCCCTACAGTATTTGACACTCATTCACTGCGGCAGTGAATTCTTTTGGTCAATTGTTCCGTACAAAGTGTTTTCTTATACTGTCTGTAAAATCCTTCCAAGTGGAATCTCTGCTCTTAGTTTATGGGACAGCGACTCTGTTTAGATTGTACTCTTCACAAGCGTATTTACTGTATCTTCTCAGCTCCACAGAACAGCAACAAGCGCTCTGAGGGAAGCCTTGGAGTCACTTCTGTAGACTGTTCTGTTGAAATACAACTAAACCATAATAAGTTAAACTTTCATTGGCTCTTCTCCATTGTGATCTAAAGCACTGATTCCATGTTATAAACCTTCTCTTACAATGCACAATCCTTCTCACCCCTTTCACAACTTTAACTGAAAATTTTAAGCAGATGCTACCAGCTTGTGGTATTTTTAACTAAATACGTCATATGGAGCATAAACTTCTTTCTACCACAAAGTCAGAAGAAAACATTAGCACCAAAACAAAGCACATGGAGGTTTTACAGAGAAAAACATAGACATTTGTGACTCCCCATACTGCACTGTACACCCACAGTGAACTACAGCAGAGACTGAAAAACCTTTGTGTGCTACAAAGGTCACTTTTCAATGTGTGTATCAGTTTGTCTTTGTGACAGGTAAAGCAATTGCCTATGACAAAATACCACTAACACAATTTGACAGACAGACATTGAGAGAGTAGCACTAATAGACCTGAAACTTTCTCAAAAAATGAGAAACTCCACCTGAAGAAGTCTTTAAGAAGAGAGATGACTGTTAGTGACAGACAAATTTTCATTCCCAGGCCACTTAAGTAAGACCGTACACCATTTGTACCACATTCAATGTTTATACTCATTAACACCTATGCATCATTTCAAAAATCATGTCTCCAGTTGTAAGAACGACACGCGTCAAAGATTTTTAAACCTCCTAAACATGACAGTAATTCCTGTAGAACACAGCATCCGTAAGCTGTTTGCAAATTACACAAAGCAGGGACATTTGGCAACTGCTAAACACACTGCATGTCACAAAACATTCTAAAGCTGTGTGAACACACCGTGAAGAGCAGTGCTGGGAAAGAAGCAAAAGAGAATCTTGTAAGAATGTGAGATTTAGTAAAAATTCAGAGGCAGACAACAGCAACAGAAATAGAAATTAGGAAATGGAACTGAGCTAGTAACTCAGCTGCTGAGCAAAGTCATCAGTGATGTTTAACTTCCTACACGTTCATGACTACTAGTTTTTCATGTGCCCCAAAAGATCTCCCTACCCTCCACTTGCAGCTGGAACTCTATCAACATGCCAACTACAAGCAAAGACTTCCAGCTACTAAATTACCACTTTCCACCACACCTCAAACAGTCTTTGGGTGGTCTCCCACTCAAGCATTGGCCAAGTCTAACTATGCCCTTGCTCATGAGATCTGACATGACCACATTCAGCAAAAGTGATAACTGAACTAATCAAGCATACCGCGAAAACCAACGTACCATGTTTCCAATTCCCGCTCTATGAGAGACTGGCACCATCTCCAGCTTGGCATTGTTGGGCAGCCTGGCAAATCTCCACTGTAAAGAGAGATCCAACACGCTCCTCTGAAACCTAAACAAGAACAGAGCCCATGAAAACACCAGGAACCATCCTATGTAACCTTCAGATCACTTCAGGGACTGACAACAATGCAAAGTACAGGTATTGAGCAAGGTAACTCCCTGCAGGCTGACTAGGAGCCATAGAGCAGCATTCAACAATGCAGAACTGGTAACTCAGAAAACATTCCACAAAAATTATTCTGCATATCAAAAAGCTGCAGTTTGTGGAGATCACAGATAAGATACTCAAATTTATGTTTCTCCTCAGGCTTTAAGAGGGAAACAGAACTGAATAGTCAAGCCTGGTGCTCAGTGTTAAATAAAAAGGTACTTTTTTTACTGCCACTCAAATAATCTCTTGCTTATGATACCGTAAAAGTCTATGATCAAGAAACAGGGTGCGACTGGAGCCCTATCAGTCAGTGAGCTGCAGCTGCGGGTGTGGGGAGAGACACCTCTGTGGAAGTTACACAGGATCTCGGTATCTATCCAAGAGCAAAGGGAACTTAGCACGGGGAAATCGGGAGAGGTTAACTGGAACAAAATCCCTTTGCTGGAGAACAACAGCCCACGGACCTTCTCTCCCCATGACTATGAGCAAACCCCCGAGCTCGGGGCCCGCAAGCCCGGGCACCCACCCGTGGCAGCCACCGCCCGGCAGCGCGCCGGGCCACGGGCAGGCCTTCGGCACCGGCTGGGCCCCTTGCCAAGGACGCGGCGGCCGACTCGACACCGCCGGGCCCGACCCTGTCCGGGAGCGCAGCCGCGGGCCCGCGCCGGGCCTCTGCCACCGGCGGCGCTGAGCAGCCTTCAATATGGCCCGGCCAGAGCTGCCGCCGGCCCCGCTGAGAGACTCACTTGAGGCCGTACTCGCCGGGGCTGCCGCCCTGCTTCCTACAGACCTCCTCGAGGATCTGCGGAGAGAACAGAGGCGTTACGGGCCGGGCCGGCCCTGCCGCCGCCGCCCGCCGCCCCCGGGGACCCACCTGAAGCAGCACCGTGCCGGGCCCCACCCGTACTGTGACCCGCCGCCCGCTGGGGGCCAGCACCGACACCGCGGCACCCCCCCCGCCCGCCGCCGCCATCTTCCCTCCCTCCGAGGCGCCGGCCCCGCGCGGCTGGGGCGGAGCTGGGCCCCGGGCCGCCCCTGCTGCAGGCCGCGCCCCGCCCCGCCGCGGAGCCGAGCGGAGGTGAGGCGGGGGCCAGGCGGCCGCGGCGGGCGAGTCCCGCCCTGGTGGGGCCGGCCGGGGACTTCCGGGGCCTGGGCCTGGGCCTGGGCAAGGGCAAGGGTCGGGGCCGAGCCAAAGGTCGAGGGTCAGGGCTGGGGCCTGTGCCCGGGTGGCCGCGGCGGGAGGTCACGGTACTACCGGCGCTCGGAGCAGGGGCAGGGCAGCCTGGCGCAGGGTGCCCGGCACACGGGCGCCCGTGCAAAGCGTGCCCCTGGCACACGCTGTCCGCTCGGCCGAGGGAGCCACCAGTGGAGCGGGAGGAGCCGGAGCCAGGGTTGCGGCTCGCGGCGCGTTTCCTGCCGGGTTTGCGGTGTTCGGATCGGTCAAACAACTCTGAAGAAATAAAACGTTTCTTCGCTGTGCCGGGGCTTTTCCCGGCAGCGCACGGCGCGGTCCCCTCACCGAACCGGGCACGCGGCCCGTCGAGGCACTTCAGCTCTCTCAGCTCTTCACCAAGCGGTGATGGCAGCGGCCGGCTCCAGGTACCAGAGCAGTGCTCCTGGGCAAAGCACTAAAGCTACTGACAGCAGCAGCCACGTTGCAGGGAGCGCTCCCTCTGCCATGCAGGTGTCCAGGCAGTGCCGCAGTCAGGACACCGCGGGTTAAGGCCAACCACAGGACCCGGTTGCCTCCGAAGGCCATTCCTTCTGGTCAAAACAACAACCAAACAAAGCTGTTGATTTTGCATCTCGGGATTAGTGTTGCAAACTCAATCGTTCAGGCAAGGGCACTGCAGCTATAGGGAGCTAAGATTATCTTATATTTTACAGCAAGATTTCATAACCTTTCACGCTCAGCACCACCTTTTCAGTGTTGAAGGCACTCTCAGAGATTCAACTCTTTTGTTTGCTATCATAAGGAAAAAGAAAAAAAACACACCAGCCCTTAGCTTGGGTAACCACTGGAATTTATTTAGCCTAAGTTGTTACCACATGCCAAATACTTTCTCTACTTCTTCTATATTTGTCATATATGTTGAGCTTAAGTCCCCACCGCTACCCCCAGCGCCCACAAAAATGTCTGCTCTGTTTGGCTTATAAAGGAAAAATATCCTTTTAAGGGAAAGACACTTTAGTAAAAGATAACGCTTGTTTTTACCTTATCAGCAGTGTGAGAGAAGGGAGAAAAAGAGAGGATGGAAATTTTAGTGATGGAGAGACATCCCCTAGCTTATGCATGTGAATTCCTGAGTCCTCCCAACACCATAGCTACTCAGTTAAGTTGTATTAATAGTAACAAAGGGTGTCCTGGTGTATAATGTGTTCTTTAAAAATAACACCTAAACATGCCTTTACACTTCTTCTTTCCATTCTATTGGGAGGTATCATCATATTACCTACACAGCTACAGCATTCAGGATATTGGCATCCCAGGCCATGTTTGTAAATCCTAAACACATTAAAATGGTTGAAGTCGTATTTTACTTTCAGAGATGGGACGGACAAGGGGTGTATGGCCAGCTACCACAGGACAGCGCAATAACTCGTCAGTCATCTGTCAATACCCTGAAGTTGTCTGTGTGCACTTGTTTTTACTATTTTGGCTAAGCAGCTGTGGAACTTTCTGAATATAAACACAACGGCTGTATAGAGAGGTATTGCCACCATCCTCCTTTCACTTGTCAGTTCTTGGCTTATGTAGTGAAGAACTTTGTTCATACTCTGAAAGTCAGTATTGTGCAGGGAGGTCCTGACCATCCTCTCATGATTCTCTTTTCTAGGAGAGAGGCCCACATTGTAGAAGAGTTTCTTCCTCAGAACAGCTCACACCAAGGTAATCACAGCACTACCTCTGACAGCAGCTGTGAACAGCAGCACAACAGCAGACTGCCATTATGTTTTCCCCAGTATTAACTTCCAGTTTTCACCAGTCCGCATCTTGCAGACATCCCAAGTCAGAGGTGTGTCTTTACATCTAATCTGATGGATTACCCTCACATGAATTTGCCTAGCCACGTTTTGAGCCCACCTGCACTTTTGGCACCCGCAGGATCTGGGGCAGTGGATGCCACAGTCAAATTGTGTGGTACGACAGAAGTACCTAACTTTGATTTAGAATTTCTTCCTTGGTGTTCCACAGCTTTTATCAAGAAACAATCACTAATCATTCTCTGTTTCCACCTCTGTAACACAAGTCTAGAGACATGCTTCTTATCATTCTCTGCATTTTTAATTGCCTTTGCTGTAAAATATGTGAAGAAGCCTTCACATATATGAGGCCTTAAGGGCAAGACTGTTCTGAAAGTTGACACATTTTTGCCTATGAAGGGTGCAACAAATACCTATGGTGTGCAAATTCATCTTAGTCTTTAAAATAGGGTTCAGACCCAAAGCTCTGCAAGTATCTCACACAGAGCGAAGACATCTTGTCCTTCCACTCATCAATACCTTCAGAGAAGGTAAGAAGAAGCAATTATAATGGCCATGTTAACACCAGTGATTGTTCAACTGCTGAGGTGGAGCAGCCATGAGATTCTAAAAGATACATTTTGACATTTTGAGTTACATGGAGCACCCCTCGAACTGGTCTTGTTTCTGTATGGGGGTAGCTCCTATTTGATGTCTGAAGCAGACAGATGTTTTCTATTTTGCATTTGGAAGTGCCACATCCCTTAAAGAAACGTTGGTCCTGTTAAAAAGACACCAATGTAATTTGAGCTGAACATTTCCAAGTTGCGGGATTGGAGAGATTATTCTGTTTTTTAATGATATGTCATAATCAGAAAGTGGCATGGAGGTTAAGGGTCACATTTCATACCCACAGCCACTTCTAATCTCAAATATTTATCTGAAATTAGAAGCATTGCAAGAGAAAGAAGGGGGAGGTAACTACAACCTGGAGTTCATTAAAGTGCTACAAAGAAAGAGGAACTCATTAGGGAATAGTTAAAAATACCCTTAACAACTTGGTTTTCTGCCACTGTCAGGACCAAGTGATGCCTGCAAGTCTGCCAGGTGGGCAAAATGTATGCCATGCCAAGACCTTCTCAGAACCTGCATTTCATTTGTGGTTACAGTGAGCAAGCTGCAGAATGACCTTTCCCTAAAATCACCTTCCCTTCCTGGCAGCTAGTGCTTTGCATTAGATCTGTACCCCTGGCACGATGCAAGTTTGCATTGCCACAGCCATACAGAGAATCATGCATAGATTTGCTTCATGATAAAGCATAGAAACCTCTCCCCCACCCCCACTTTTTAATTTCTTTTTAATTGATAGGAATTTAACTATGAACATCTAGAAATATGTTACCACCAGTTCCAAACTATAATGCAGAACAACAGTTACTTACCGCAGTAATGACGATTCCAAAAAGATTTCCTCCCATCTGTACCAACAGTATGTGCTGCCGATTACCAGTGTCCTGGGGACGTTCAAGAGCATGGCTCCCTACCACAGCATTGCACAGCACATTGTGTTGCGCTTTTGATCAACACAAGACCCAAGAACAAGTCAGGGGAGTTCAGCTCAGCCAGGGCTGCAGAGCTGCCTACACCAGGTGTGAGAGCTGGCTACAAAGGAGAAAGGTACTCAAGGCATAAGTGCTGGCCAGAACTCAGGGCATCATCCTCTCAGCTTCTGAGAGGCAAGTCCTAGAGCTGCCTTGATCCTGACAGAACTCTAGGGAATCTCAGAACTGTCTCATTTGCTATTGTATATCAGAGTCCAATACATTTCAACATACATGAGGACATAATGGAACACCCTGCAGGATAGTTCATTTTGAAAGGCATTAAATAGTAACAGCATCTCCCTTAACATTATTCCCAACCATTAAGAATCTCTTGCTGGCCTCCTTCGAGCCTTACTCCCACCCATAAATATGCCCAATCTCCAGTGCCTGGAGCAGGAGTCCAATTCCTCCACAGCTTTCTCTGAGCTTCCTTCCATACCAAGCCCAAACCATTCAGTGTAGGGTGTTTCTTTTAAAAGATTAGAAGTTAGCAAACCTCTCCTTCTGAAGAACGAAATTCTTTGAAACCTGTGTGCACTTGGATGTTCTCTCAAGTTCAGCATTTCAAACTGTACTGGATTTAAATATCTAGAAGAGAGCAGTCTGTCATGCCATAACCTCACAAGCTGTATAATCTTTGCACTCTTTGTAACAGCCCCCTGCTCCTTTTTGAGAGGTAACACAAAAATGGTAAGAGTGCTCTGAAAGAAATCCTCCTGTTACCGGCACCAGAAGAGGTAAGGCCAAGACAGACACAATTTAAATGTCTTTTCTTCAACTCTTTGGACAAAGGCCCAAAGATCTGCAACTTTAACTTTGCCCTATGGTTTTTCAGTGGTGAATCACACTCAGTTGCCCCTACACAAACCAGCTGGTACAATGTGTTACAAGGTTCAGTAACTGCAGCCCCCCCCAGTCCATCCTGTTTTCTTGCTGCAACAAGTGAAATACAAGGTTCTGGAGTTGTTTATACCACCTGTTCCATGATCCTGAAGTTCTTTTGGGGACTTAGTGGTTCATCTGGTCAGACTTTTTGCAAACTAACCAGTTTCCAGCTACACCTCTGCTCAGGCAGCCAGGCATGGTCTCTAACTGGCAATAACTAGTGCTAGTGATGGATTGCTCGTATCTGCCAGCCAGTGAGGAAGGGATGTTTAGGCCAGTGTAGAAAAAGATAACAATGATACAGACTTGTGCTGGGACTATATTGAGTAGATGTAGTGTGTGTGTGGAGGAGCGTGTTCAGTTCAGTGGCTTTTCCTGGCTTAAAGATACTATTGGTACTATCAGCACTTAAATAAAATAAAACATTTGGAGGTAAAACTCTGCACGAGGACAGAGCTAAGATCAAGATTAAGTGAGAGTAACTGAAAGATTAAGAAAAACCTAACATGGCAAGCAACTTGCAAACCTCTGTGCTATGTAGGAAATTTAGAGCTAAGGATACACTTAA